TCTGGGGAGATCTTCGCCGCGCGCTTCGATCCGACAGGACAGTATATAGCTTCGGGCTCCATGGACCGGTCTATATGTCAGTCATCTGTGAACACGTGAGAGATATGCGCTAACATGAACAGTACTCTGGCGCAGCTCTGGATCATGCGAAAACTACGGCATTCTCACTGGACACAAGCAGGCAGTCCTGGATCTGCACTGGTCGCGCGACTCCAAGGTTCTCTTCTCCGCCTCGGCAGACATGCACCTAGCAAGTTGGGACGTGGAAACGGGAGAGAGGATACGAAGACACCCAGGGCACGAGGAGGTTATCAACTGCATGGACGTGAGCAAGCGCGGTGAAGAGATGCTTGTGAGCGGGTCCGACGACGGCTACATCGGGGTGAGTGCATCAGTATATCATGTTGGAACATTTTTCTAACTCTCACAGATCTGGGACACGAGAACGAAAGACGCCGTAACATTCATCCCCACCGACTTCCCCATAACCGCTATATGCCTGGCCGAAGCCGGCAACGAGCTCTTCACCGGCGGCATCGACAACGACATCAAAGTCTGGGATCTGCGGAAACAAGCCGTCACATACACACTCCTCGGTCACACCGACACGGTCACTTCTCTCCAAATGTCCCCAGACAACCAAACCCTCCTCTCCAACGCACACGACTCGACCGTCAGAACATGGGACGTGAGGCCCTTTGCGCCTGCAGACAGGCGCATCCAAACATACGACGGAGCTCCCACGGGTCAAGAGCGCAACCTGCTAAAGGCAAGCTGGGACTCCAAGGGCGAGAAGATTGCAGCCGGTAGCGGCGACCAGAGCGTAGCCGTTTGGGAAACCCGAACAGGAAAGCTACTGCACAAGCTTCCCGGTCATCGAGGTGCCGTCAACGACGTGCGGTTCCACCCGCTCGGTGAGCCAATTTGTAAGTACCCTGAATCTTCTTTTGCATTCGTCCCTCTACCTGTTCTCCGCTCTGGACCCCGCGCTACGCTTCAGCCTCCCGACCGGATGGCGGATTGGGTTTGGAGAACGAGCGACCAATTTCGATTGTCAGCGCTTGAGGCGGATAGGAGAGTAGTCCTTCGCATTGACATTTCTTAACAAGCGTTTCGACACCTTTCACCGCTGAACACGAAGCTAACTTGGCAATCTTAGTGGTATCCGCATCTTCAGACCGCAAGCTCATGGTAGGCGAGCTAGGCAAGTGAACGTGGAGATGAAGCAACTTGGCTACGCAAACATGCTTCGAGATGAAATCCCCGGTGGAGCGTGGAGACCGAGCAGAGCGTGGAGACAGGAGAAAAACGTGGAGAGAAAGGCCCGAGGAACATCCGGCCCCACGGTACGTCAGAAGGCGTTGTTTACATATAGAACTGGATACGCCGGTGCGACATTTGACAGGGGGTACGGAGTCGCATGTACTGTCTTCCACAAAACAGCGAAAAGGAAGGGGGTCAAAAGACGCGTCGAGGAGACGACCCGGATAGTTACTTTTTGGACAGTTATGACGCGCGAACACTGTCGACAATGTAAAGAGTAAACAAAATACAACCAAAGTCAATCAAGATGAATACCCGCGTCTTATGCACCGTTATGAATGCCGTTGCACGTAAATAGCACACTTGCGAAGCTACTGGTGCTCAGTCGTTCCTCATTGGGGTAGACGTTTCATGTTGTTTTTGTGCGAGCCAACCAGCGTGCTGCGGGCCTGACGCTTTTGCTACGCACCTCTTCTTCCGGTCAACACTCATCGACTACTACAGGCCCGCGCAGGCCCGCCAGACTCGAGAACATCTAGATCTGATGCACCGATACATGCGAACCACGGTCCGTGACACGTCCTGGATCGCTGCTGCTGCCGGGCTCATGGCGGAGACGTGTTTCACCTTTCCAGCGATCAAAGTCTGATACGCCACTCGTCGCGGAAACGCATGGCGCTCAATGCTTTCTCGACTTCTGACCGTCCATCGTTATTGGGACGCTGTGACCCATGTCATCTTGGTGCGGAGCGCGCGACCACCACCTCCTCTCCTACTCTTTCATCTCCTTCGTGTTTGTCTTGCATCTATTTTCCTTCCAGTCATTGGTAATAGAGGTAGCGGTTGCTGTGCTCCTGCTTGTTTCGCTTCTTTTCAATCTTTTGCGCTCGTTTGGCCGAGGTGCGCTGCTGGATAGCCCTGTCTGGTCCTTTTTTACTCTTTTCCCTTTTACTATTCATTTTCAGAGTCTAGAAAGAAGATCTTTGTTTCGACGCTTTTCTCGAAAGTTAAGAGGTTGGTAGCCAAACGGTTCGCTCCAACTGGATTACTTTGCATATGCTGGGTAGGGTCTTGGGCAAGGGCGAGATCCATTCATTGTTCTTTCACTCCACACTTTCTGTTCCTGGAAGCGGTTCGGGTACACGGCGTTCCTGCATTGGTTCTGGAGTATCCTTTCTCTTATTCGCCCTTGTCTTGTCTTGAGTGAAATCAATACAGAGACCTTCGGCTAGCACGACGCGTCTGCTATAAGGGATTCACGTACGCCCAAGATAGAACTTGGGGGCTCGTAACCGTATATTTCTGGACTTGAGGGAACTACCGCGCTATATACGGATCGCCATGTTTCGGTCACCACTCTTCGCTTGGTCGCCGCGGCCAGACCAGAACCAGGACTTCGACGCAACGCCGGCAACGCAGTCGACTTCTCGGTTCAGCGCGTTCCGCAGTAATGTGCGGGGGATGGTCAACGGGTCGTCGATATACTCGCAGTCGCCGGCTATGAACAACAACAACAACATCAACACACCCAAAACGCCCTTCCTGGGCTTCTGGAACCGCCAACAACCGGCCAACCAGGACGGGCTGCCCACCCATCAGAACGCGCATCGCGAATCACATGATTCAAGGGCTCCATTTCATGCGCACCACACAGCGGGCTCCTACATCGGCGCCATCAACCCGCCTCAAGATCCGCAGGAACCAACCACACTCTACGCTCGTCACCCAGCCGATGTACCACTGCCCAGTCAGCAGGAGGGCTTCGTAGACCCTGAGATCCAGCAACTACAAGACGAGATAAACGGCCGACGACACAAGCGACGGAAGCACCGAAGAAGAAAGCACCACCGCACCGAACGATCCGCATCCAATGCATCCAGCGGTTCGAACGGATGGGTACGCAGGCGAGAACAGCGCGGCACCACCGCAGTATACATCCGCGGATCCGCCGCACGCGGAAAGATGATAGCATGTGTGATATCCGGCACCTTTCTCATCACCATCCTCGCAATCTGTAAGTCCTCTCCATCCTTTCCCTCCCTTTCCCACTCTCAGAACATGCAAAACTAACAACCCCTCCTCCTCCCAACAGACCTAGCAATCGCCCTAACCAACCGGTCCCTTGGCCAAGAAATCCACATCCTCTTCATCATGGTCCTGCTCACGATCACAATCTTCTTCTGCCACTCCCTCATCCGCCTCTGCATGCTCATGCTGAACCCGCCGCGCCACGAACACCGCGCCGCCATGCCCGACATGACGGGCGGCGGCGAGGGATTCCAGCCCATCGTCCCCATTCGCGTGCACCTGCGGCGCGACGAGGAAAGCGCAGAAGACGCGGATATGGATGCTGTGTTGGAGAACGACATGGTGGGTGCGAGTGGGGATGAGGAGGGGAAGGGTATGCCGCCGCCTCCGCCACCCGCGTACGGGCTTTGGAGGAGTAGTGTGAGGGTTGATCCGAATTTGCTTCATTGGCAGAGGGTTGAGGATGCGACAAGGGGTAGTGCCATCTCTGCTGCTGCTCACTCTACTCGTGCCTCGCTCTCTGGTCCTGCGGCTCTCGCTGCGGCGTCTCTCCGCGGCAGCGCAACATCGACATCACCTGCGCAACCCCAGCACGAAGGTCCCCGCCCCCCTTCTTACGCCTCAGAAGACGGCGTAAGTTACATCGTTGAAGCGGAACCGAGACACACGACAAATGTACGGGATAGCACGAGAGGCGCGTTGAACGACATTCATCCTGCGTGGCGGCCTGGGTATGCGATGAGTGAGATTAGGGGTGGCGAGTTGCCGGCGAGTGCTATGAACGGTAGTCGCTCTTAGGAATGCGTATGGCTGTTTGTTTGCTATATCGAATCGTGGCATAGCGCATCGCCCAGTTTGTTTGGTTATTATACTCGTAGCGTTCTAGCATTTGCGTATGTGTGGTTTTAGTACTTGAGGAGTGTGTACAATTGCATGGTTATACCACTTTCCAACAATTTCGACTTCCAATCTCAAAGCCCTCATCCTTCGTTCACCGGCCATTCCTACCACGTCCATGACGTGTTTCTCTCTTTCCGCTTCTACTCAACGTCGATTCCCCTCGTTGGTTTTCCTTCTTTCGCCATTTCGGCTCTCGATGCACAGAATGAGGTCACACCGGGGTGTTTATGAAACGTGAAGACGGGAAGAAGAACGGGGTGTACGTCACGCACGCTCTAGATATAGTAAACAGTTTCAGCCTCTTTGTTTGGGGGGTTGTTGTTGTCTTTTCGTCATCGGCACTGGGTGCGTCATTGGCAAGTGCATAATCTTGTGCGTTTCGCTGTTGTGGCTGGTTATTGCGAGTTGCTTTGGGTAACGTGAGGATTGTCCATATGTAAAGATTTTGACAAATGGTGAGCATGGAAGCAAAGGTAATGCGATCTATTCACGGCATTGCTCTGTGTCTCGTTCTACGAACATGATATTTTTCGGGCTGTCATGTTGATCGACATCAAACGCTTTGGGTGCATCCAGTGGAAGAGCATCCTTTTTATTCCTTCCTCCGCTTTTCTCGTCATTCTATTACCCATATCCCACAAGTCCCGGTCATCCAACCCCTTCTCGCCTGTGAAGCATCGCTAAGTAGTCCTCAGGTACCCCTTCTCAAACTTCCCCCTTGACCCAGCCTTCCCTCTTCATATTCGTTCAAGTCGAAATTAGACTGTTCCCTCATGGCATCATCTCTCTCCCTTATATATTTGTCCAATCTATCCTCCTCCCTCCCTCCTCTTCCGTGCCCAATCCTGCCAATCATTCCAATAGTCGCGTCTCAGCGCTGACCACATAGCGCGTCGACCCCCTTCCACGTCCCTTTCGCTAATAGCCAGGTCCATAGCAAATTGATATCCTCTCTGCTGCATCTCGATCAATTTGAGCTTCGCATGCCGGTTCTCAATGCGGCTAGCTGGTGCAGTAGCAGAAGCAGAGTATGTCGCGCTGATGAGTTTCCCGTGCCCGTCCATCCAAATATCCGGTAGCTTGTCCTCTGCAACGGGCCAGCCAGCTATGACATCAGACAAGAGCAAAAAGACTCTTCGCTCCAGATCTGGCAGGGGAATCTTGCCACTCTGCAATGCTTCGCACGCATCTGCCCCGGGGCGCTTGAGCGAGATGGAGATGCTCACCTGTTCTTTTGCGGCATCTTTCAACGCCTCCATGAGGCCTACGATGTTGATACGCAGCATGCTTAATGATGTTGCGTCGGCGGTTTCGAAAACGAGAGCGATGTTGAACGACGCGATGGATCTATCCCATCTGGGTACGAAAAAGCAGCAAGGACGTGTAAGGCAGTGTACTCGTAAAAAGTGGAAGTCCTTGAAACTGGTCCTACACGTGGTACTCCTTTTGACCATGGTAACGTTTGCGTTGTGAGTTAACATGTTCCTAATCATGAAGTCAGAACGTGACTCCCTGCTGAGCTGGAGGATGTTCAGCTGTATCCCGTCTATGGTATGATTATCCATGTCTAGTATTGGACCTTCAGGCGATAGTGCCGCTAGGTTGATGATCTTTGACAAGACACTTCGAGGAAGGTCCAGGAGGTGGCGTGGCTTTGAGCCTAGTTGTCTGATGACGACGTCTCCATTCTGGTCCGCTGCGAACTCCCTCCAGTGACTATGGTCCTTGTCAAATGTGACTCGCATGTATCGTTCCGCAAAATGTATGCTGACAGAGTGAATAAGCCGGTCGAAATTGGCGAATCTTTGCAAACTAAATTGTCCGTTTCCGATCAAACTGGAGAAGATCGCATTGCAGTCGTTGACTAAGTCTCTCGGATACTGCCTTTTCTGTACCTCATACCGCTTCTTCTGTTCCTCAGTCCGTGCGAAAGAATTCTCGCACTCAGGGTCCAGTCTCCTACCAGTGCAAGCGAATGTAATTGGTGACTTTTTTGAACCGTTCTTCCAGAGCAACCGTAGCAAAGGCAACGCATCGAAGTCATCCAATGCATGCTTGCAAGCGTGATAGCACATGGCATCGACATCGATATGTACCTTCTTTAGCATCCCAAACTGACTGCCGGTGTTGGATAGCCATACGGAAGCATATGCGAACTGATGATAAGCTCTCCCATCGAAATTGTCATAGCGCGGATTATTCCTTCCATCATGGCGATCGAGAACTCGCGAGAAAACAAAGGTATTGTCGCTATAGAACACGCTGGCTGCCTCATGGTATATCTGTCGACATACCAGCAGCAGCGGTAATCCCAAGTGGAAGTCGTGGGTGAACTCACAATCAGCGCCGATTCTGGACTCGAGTTCCGTCTTAAACCTGGCTGTCAGGGCGTAGAGTCCCTCATCTGTGTCGTAATTTCTTCGTTTGGGTTCGACCGCATGGTAAGCATCGGTGTTGTGAAGGAGGATTGGTTCGGCGCGCTTGAACAATTGTTCGTAAATCAAGTTGCGGATCTCGCCTGGTCGGTTAAGGAATGAGGGCTCGCTTGGATCGGCGGGGTGTGAGTCTCGCTTTGGAATTTGCATCCTGGCAATGGTGCTGGACTCAGTTGGATGGAACTATGCTATGAACGATGCGCGACGAGAGAGCGACGAGTTGTGAGCGACCGCGAGCAACGCCAACGAGAACAAAAACGATTGTGTACAGATTTGAGGTGCTTGCCCGCAACGGGGTCGCGACAGTGAAACCTGGCAGCAAAAAATCGGAGAGCGAATGCTGATATCGTTGCGCGCCAAGCATGCAGCTCTGCCCTTGCAAAGTATGACAGAAGAATCGTCTCCCAGCGAGAGACGAGAGCAGTCACGGGTAGCTCAAGCTTGTAGGCGCAGAAAGTAACGATGCCACCGAGCGAAGAGGTGAGATGCAGCCCCAAGGACGCGCCGTGGCGATTGTAAACAAGGCGAAGTTTGCTCCAGGCCCCCATCACGCCTTCCCATCCTCGACGAATGCCAAGACCCACGTGATAGAATTGCGTCGATGCAGCCATATATACAGATATGGTGAATAATGAAGAGGTATCATACCGGGGAGTATATAATAGAAAGCGTAAAGACCGAGTGCATTGCTACGATGAATATGCTGGTGCTGAATTGCCAGCACGACACGGCATAGTATCAATTCATGTGATACAGCTGTGTATACAAACGTTTGATTCATTCGAATTCCAGTAGAGAAACCCAACCCATCACCATCCCACCCTAATCATAAAACCCCAAAATCTTATTCGCCCGATCCAAAATAACCCTTTCCCCCGGCCCCAACCCTTGCGCATCACTATCCCACTCTTGCAACCCCATTGCCCTCCTCCCCTCATCTCCAACCAACTCCTCCATATCCCCAGCTGTAATACGCCCAACATGCTCACTCTCACCAACGCCCCCACCGAAATCCGGACTCGGAGTACCAGCAAGAAACGTCTCGCGCTGACGAACAAGGTAATTCGCATTATCCTCCGTCATGGGACAAGCAGGAATATACAGGACGCTGGAGTCAGAAGTACCAGCGTGCGTCTTGTCGACGCTGTGGATGGTGTCGCAGTGCCAGGCTACGTAGTCACCCGGCCTGACCTCCGGCATATGAATCATCGACTCTTGTAAATTGAGATGGGGATGTAGCAAATGTGACAGTTCCTGGCCGCGACCGGGTGTTGCGCCGTGGACCCAGGCGTTTTGCGTCTTATCCATTTCCCAGTTGTCTGAGGCGAGGAAATCGGCGGTGTTTGTGGTGGATGAGGAGGAGGGTGTTTGCGCGCCGGGTTCGACGCCGCGTTTGGGGGAGAAGAAGGGGCGGAGGAGGTAGTATGCTGTTGCTTTCGCCAACAGCGGGTTGACGAGGAGTGTGCCTTCGAAGGGACCGGTGTTGGAGAGCGAGAGCCAGCCTTGGAACATGCGGAACGCGCTGCATGCTCCTACGCCTTGGTGCAAGTCCGAAATGACGGGCAGACGACAACTGGCTTCCCAGGGGTCAAATTCTTCCCATCGCCCCTTCCACACAGAGTCGTAGACTTTGCCTAGCCCGTAGCCTTCTTCGTCCCAGCGTTCCACGCTGCCGCCGTCGACGTGTGGGCCGAGGGCGAACTTGGCGTCGCCGGGGAGGCGCATGCGCAGGCGGTCGGCGTAGCTTATGGGGTGTTTTGTGGAGAGCGGGATGTGTGGGTTGAGGCTGTGCCAGTAGGACATGAGGAAGGATTGCGTCTTGAGGAGGTTCGGGTTACCGCGGGCGAGGAGCTGGGTGCGCGACCAGTATAGTTCGAAGACTTGGGGGTTGTCGGCGGGGAAGGCTGCAGAATGGTTAGTTATGCGTATGTTTCCAGGATGCGCGCAGACGTACCCTTTGTCTGAGGATTCTGGCGAATGTACTCTCTCAAGTCCTCCTTCCATTGCAGCGCTTCCTGCTCTGGTACCACATTCCGGATGACAGCGACACCTCTCTTCCGCAGCTCACTGCTGAAAGACTCCGGCGCATTGTCGATATCCTTGAAATCAATCTCTGGAATGACTTGGCTACCGCGCTCAACAATCAGCGGAATCTCCTCGCGCAGATCTCGAAGGAGGCGTTCCCAAGACTCTCGCACTTCGGCTTCGTGCCCCCGGATCAGACGGCTTTTGAGGTCCGCATATTCTGGCGTCAAAGGTGTAAACTCCTGTCCTGAGAGCGATGCGAAAGCGTCGGATATGTCTCCTGCGCGCTTCTGGGCCTGTGTCGCGGCGGTGCGCAATTGTGTGACGGCGCGTCTCGTCGGAGATCGGATGGTTCGGAGCGCGGAGAGCATCGCGGAGGTATCGTGTGGAAATTATTCGACTGTTCGATACTGTAGCATGGCCTTTCTCATCCCCAGAAGCCGCCCATTATATACTGCTGCTTGCGCCGAGGTTGCACCAGCGTTCAGTGTAGTTCCGACAGTGTAGTGAAGCTCAAGCTGTCGAGAGAAGATACTGTACATTCGGAAGCTCTTCTCGACTGGGTATAGCGCCGTCTTTGAGCTCTGCCAGTCCACCATCCTCGTCACTACCATTACATGTAGAGCATCGTTCCCGACGACTCCATCTTAGACCATAGTCAGCACTTAGATTCGCGAATGAGGCGATGAGGAACATGCTCTTCGGCGCGACTTGGTAGACGGAACCCTGGAGTGGTCGCGCGGGAAACGGCCGCCAGACCCAATACCCCGCCATCCCACTCCTCCAAGCATCACCTTGCGCCCAAGATGACTTCCGCGCTGCCGCCTAGCAGGTTAATAGGCAGGCTGAATCAACGGGCCGCAGTCCCACTGACCGCCTTCATCATCGAGGACCCTCATGGGCAGAATCGACGTAAAAGTGTAGCTTCGTCATGTGGGATGAAGCTATAACACTCAAGTGATCGTGACTATGAGCGGGGTCGCTCGACCAAGGAGCCATTGAGAAGGCGGAGAATGCGACGTCCAGCCCGCTTGAGCTCGACGGAGCCGTACCAAGTTCCTCATATGTCTTACTGCGCGTCGATTAAGGTCTTGTCGACGCGTGAGGACGGTTACGGCGGGACGTTCTCCGCAGCCTTTTGCTGTGTCCACGTATATAGAAGTATACCTGTCCCGTTGCTGCGGGTTGCTTTCTGCTTCTCTAGATTGTCAGCGTAAGCACCTCTGACAATAAGACTGCTTGAACCGCAATCAAAACCATCATGTCGCAGTCGTATCTGCCGAAGGATTTCCTGTGGGGATTCGCAACAGCCAGGTTCGTCTGATCTCAGGACCGATTTCTCCACTCCCCAATTGTACCCCGCCAACGAGATATACGGTTTGGGAGGCGCCACACTGTTGTCACATACTGAGTTTCTGAACCCGCAGTTACCAAATCGAAGGCGCACCGCATGAAGATGGCCGCGCCGATTCCATTTGGGACACGTTCTGCCGCATCCCGGGCAAGATTGCTGGCGGAGAATCCGGAGATGTTGCATGCGATTCCTACCACCGCACTGACGAGGACATTGCCCTCTTGAAAGATATCGGCGCAAAATCATACCGCTTTTCGCTCTCGTGGTCCCGCATCATACCGCTCGGCGGACGCAACGACCCCGTAAACGAAAAAGGTCTGCAGTACTACATCAGCTTGGTCGACGATCTCCGTGCCGCAGGCATCGAGCCGATGATAACGCTGTTTCATTGGGATCTCCCAGACAACCTGCACAAGCGATATGGGGGCATGCTGAACAAGGACGAGTTCGTGAAGGATTACGAGAACTACGCCAGGGTGTGTTTCAAGGCTTTCGGTTCGAAGGTAAAATATTGGATCACCTTCAACGAGCCTTGGTGCAGCTCTATTCTCGGCTATGGCACCGGCCTCTTTGCTCCCGGTCGTTGCAGTGACCGGACCAAGAGCGCTGAAGGTGACAGCTCGCGGGAGCCGTGGATCGTCGGCCACTCGCTCCTCATTGCCCATGGTGCGGCGGTCAAGGCCTACCGTGATGACTTCAAGGCCAAGGATGGAGGCCAGATTGGGATTACGCTCAATGGTAAGTGACCAGCACGTGGCTCGCGTAGAAGGTGTGGGTACCACGCATATCGAAGGCCGTGCCAGGGTAGTAAAAATCGGCCTCACGTCTGAGCATGAATATGACAAGCTGATATGCCGTTTCTAGGCGACTGGACAGAACCGTGGGATCCAGAAGACCCGAAGGATCGCGAGGCCTGCGACCGCAAGATCGAATTTGCCATTTGCTGGTTCGGCGACCCAGTGTACTTTGGCAAGTACCCAGACTCGATGCGCAAGCAACTGGGCGATCGCCTTCCCGACTTCACACCGGAAGAAGCGGCTCTCGTCAAGGGAAGCAATGACTTCTATGGCATGAACCACTACTGCGCCAATTATATTAGACACAAGGACACTGAGCCTGAGCCTGAAGATCATGTTGGCAATATGGACATTCTTTACCAGAACAAGAAGGGCGAATGGATTGGCCCAGAGACTCAATCCGTCTGGCTGAGGCCAATGCCTTTGGGTTTCAGAAAGCTAATCAAGTGGCTCAGTGATAGGTACGGCGGCCCGACCTTCTATGTGACTGAGAACGGAACCAGTCTCAAGGGGGAGAACGATCTCCCTCTTGAGAAGTTGCTCGACGACGAGTTCCGTTGCGAGTACTTCAGGGGATACATTGGAGCCTTGGCCGATGCTCACACCTTGGACGGTGTCGATGTCAGGGGCTACTCAGCTTGGAGTCTCATGGAGTGAGTAATCCCGTTTCTTGACGTCTACCCTGACCCCCACTTGTCATCAAGAAGTTTCTTTTTTCTTTCCCAATGAGTGGTGGAGTCTTTATTTGTCCGCATGGCGGTTGCGCGTTCGCTCCCGGGTAGATCATTCTTTCTCTCCTAGCCTCAAACACTGCGGGCTTGGGGTCCCACGGACGCCGTGTAAAGCGTCATGGACACTGACTTGGTGTACCTGCAGCAACTTTGAGTGGGCCGAAGGCTACACGACACGTTTCGGCGTTACCTACGTCGACTACAAGGGTGGCCAGAAGCGATACCCTAAGAAGAGCGCGCGAGAAATCTCGAAAATCTTTGACAAGTACATCAAAAAGGAGTAAGAAACCGAGAATCCTGGCGACCCGCGGATGTGGCGTACGACGGTGTAGGACGGATACGCATCCACCGAATCACTGTCGGGATGGGCCTGGATTGATAGGCAGAGCCCTTCTAGGATTTTTCTAGCGCGATGTATGTGGATGGGAGACGGTGAATGTGGGACGATGTGGCACAATATGGCATGCCATGATGGGCTGTCCTTGCAAATTACCGTGTGCGGAAAGCTGTGCGACCCTCTCTTTTCTTAGATGGATCTCGGAGTCTTTGCATCTGTAGATACTATCTTAGATCCGGAGCATTGCGCCATCTTAGGCCCCGCGTGGTAACAACCACTGGGATGATGGTTGTGTATCTCCCGTGTTAGCCTCGCGATATTGATTCCGACGTTTGAACGAACTCCTCATCTGTCTGCTAAGATCGTGGTGCCGTGGTGCCCGAGGCGTAGTGTACCAAAGTTGATAAAGTTTGGTTGAGTGCCCACCATGCTGTCATGGTTGAGGGTGAAGGGTGCCTGTAGAGCTGAAGAGATCCCTGACAGCCAAATCGGCACGCGTCCCATCTCGCCTGTTTCCTACACGCATTCGTCCACCAACGTCAGCGTACCGCCACTCTCAGCCTCGAATCATACCCCACAATTGCGTCTTTTATGCAGGTAAACGCCAAAAAGAAAGGAACATGGCGCGCCCAACGACTATACAATCGCATTCGGGTTTGGCCAAAACGATAGCGACTGAAAACTGTAATAGGTGGCCCCACCAATCACTCGATAGCAAGAGGTTGCGCCATCGCTATGTTGCACTTCTAGTCCAAGAGCTAGAAGCTTCGGAGACCTTTGATGGCGCAACAGGCTCGCTTGGCGCGAATCGTGAAGCGTGATCGGTGAGGGAGGGCGCGAAATTGTAGCGTTAGCGAGGCTAGGAGAGATCCAAATGGTGTGGTTAGAGCAAGTGGGGCATCCTTGTTGGGGTAGACCCGTAAACTCTAATTTTCCACAAGCATGTTTCAGGCTAGGGGTCGTCTTGTCACCAAAAGTTCGTGGCCGCTAGCGGGTGGCATGGTCTTGTGGAGTTGGACAATTGAGTTCGAGATTAGCAGCGGACAATCAGGATGCAGGTTCATGGAAGAATGCCGGCTGATTATCTAGTAGGCACGGAGTGATAGATCCTAAGTTTGGTAGCGAAAGCATAGAGTCATGACGAACCGTCCGTCTGTGACAGTTTGGCGGCTGGCCTTGCTTTGGGACCGGCACTTGAGATTATGATAATGCTGATGTTTCGGACGCCATCTGATCCGGCCGACGCAGGTTTGCTTGCGCAATCGTTCACGGGCCCGCAAAGTGGACATGGTGTCCTAGAGTTGGGCTTGTCTGTAGGGCCCTTGGAGATGGTTGAACTAAGCTTGCGTGCAGCCGCCAGGCGCCTTTACGAGTAAGACAGGTCTAGCGAGCGAACCGGCGCTCGCTCTGTATCCCAAGAATTCCAGTGTTTGGGTGTCGGTGGTGACACTGCAGCTGCGATCTGACAGGTAGAGATGGTTACACCGCAGCACCGATCTGCCGCTCCGGGCCACGACGCACGGGTACCACTGCCTGCATTGCACGGAAGGGGTTGACGACGATGGGGCTCCACGGAGACGGATGTTCGGATTTCGCATTCGGTTGAGCACTGGATGGAGCCCTGAGATTGGAGCACACGGAATTCACCGCTACTATCGACACTGCAGAGACGAGATGGACATACTGGACGCGAGGTGCATTTGATACGGCGCGCCGCCCTTGGATACGGCGAAGATCAACGTTCGGGCAGCTACGTGTGGGGAACGTCGATATTAGGCTCGCCATTCGTGGTGGTAGTAGCAACGGCTGGTTTCAGCATCTCGCGACTGTCATGACGATGTTGGTTAGTAGTGTCGCTGAAGCTGCCCCAGTCGCGATTACAAACAAGAGAGTGGCCTCATGTCAGCCACTCGTGGAAGTCCCTAACTGCGTAGAGACGTGACGGCGGCGCGCTAGAAGTTTGCATGGACGGTGAGAGTATTGGGGCTAGAGTGCGCAAGGGAGAAGCGAGCGCGGGCGGTGGGCATTGACGTAGGGAAGGAGCTAACCTCGTGACTTCCCGTACGCGTACCATGGCCCTCGACTCTTCACCGAAACCTGAGGCCGGCGATGGAGTTGGCTGGAAATGAAGCACGCTTTCGGGCACAGTCTAGCTGTCGCTGTCTCAGGTATACGCACGACGTCAAATAACGTCGCTGCTAGCCGCAATCAGGCGGGCGTTGCAGGTGGTGCGGCGCAATTGATCCTTCGGGCTCCCCACCTGTGCCCCTCCAAACCACCACGACTCTGCCCGTGAACCTGCATCTCGCGACCGCAGTTGAAAATTCTGCCCAGGTCTCCATCGCCAGCACGCACTGGGCAGGATCGCGCGCTCCGGTCCATTCTCTCATCGCGGCACGCGGCTGGCGGCACCTTAGCCTAGTGCTGCCGACGTGCATCACTGTCATCTTCGAAACAGTTGCCGAAATTCGCTATCGTCCAATATCGGCGCCAAGTGAGGCCTGGCAGCAGTGCCGTCTACGGCCTAGTCGCTGAAGCCTCGCCGTGTGCGCCTGCGTCTATGGAGCGGTGAGGTTGCTCGGAGGATTCTTGCTTTATCGATTATTGGGGGATGTGATGCATAGCGCAGCAGATCCGCGACCCCCATGGCGAAGACTGCCTGGTCCTGCACTGGCTCTGCCCATCAGCATCTCCAACTCGTCACGAGATGTGACGCATCAAGGTTTGTACGTAGTCTTCCTATACCACTGGATACGGTACGGCGCACGAGCTCTAGCCACAACCTTCTGACCTCTCCCCCATGCGGCGTGCAGGAGCGCATCACGGACTCTCTCTGGCCAATGCTCCTCAGCTCATTTCTGCAAGTCCGACTGTCGGCAATGCAGTCCCTGCGAATGACGGAGCCCTCACCATATCTTCCCACGTGCCGACCATGCGCTTAGTCTGCAGGGCGCCGAATATAGACGTACCATGTATGCATAGCCAGCACACGGCATGAAACGCATCGATAGCCATGAGGCCACGATAGAGTTTACTTACTCCGCCGAACATGTCCTCCTCGCAGCGTCGGCAAGACTGCTCAAACTCGATATGTCACCTGTGATGTAAACATGGTCCGTGGAGTTACTTCGGAACTATCCCTCCAAAGCCCTGAGCCCTCGCTGCTCGTTCATGGCGGACCATGCCATGGCCCTGCGTCCCGACATGATCGACGTGCCTGTCAAGCTACCCCCCCTGGGACTCAATACTCGCAGAGATCCACAGCGGACCCTCGAGCGTCTCGCAATTGCCCGCCGCCTCGACGTGAGCGTGCGACCCTCCGACTGAAGCAGCCATGGACAGGCCCATCGTGGCCCTTGGCACTTCGGGCTAATTTTCACCATGCAGGGCTTCCACGTGCTGACCCTTTTAGCGCTGCCGGGGCCTGCTCGTCTGCGCGCTCCTTTGCATCGCCCGTGTCATCCCTGGATCCTGGCATCGCTTCACGTACTCGCTGCATGAGCCCACGCCATACGCTCCTCAAACGTCACATTTTGTCCGTGTCTGGCTTGCCTGTCATCCAAACTTCGCTACGGTCCGCAAACACGACCAGCTTCCTGACTGGCAAGCGGCCATGGCGACATCAGCACCATGTCTGCCCATTATTATGCGCTTCCGTAGACCCTTCGCGGTGGGCCCACGGGCGCTTTTCTGCGCGCACTCTCGACGTCAGGTGGGCCGAAGCGTGTTGCGCAGGAACTCGGCCATGCCAACGCGGGTGGGGTGCAATTAACAAGCTAGAGCCTGTCGTAGTGCCTTTCCAGAACAGCCACGCCTCGCACCCAGACGCAGGGCGACGTGCTCCTAGGCCGGCCTTCCTGCCACCACCGTTGAGAGTTTATATGGCGTGAAGGGTCTTTACCACCCTAAGCTGATACGAGCCTGTGGGCTACCTACACTATGCGGCGTCCAAGCCTCGTACTAACGTACAAGCTAAAGTGAAACGATTTCCCCAGAACCCACGTTGTGTGGCTACCCACCAGGGGCCCAGGATCAGGATGCCAACACTAGCCTAGGGCCGAGCATGGGTCCCGACAGACGCTATCCATGAGACCTGATAGCAGGTTATAGGCTCATGCCAGCCATGTCTTGCTACCATCAGTCCTGTCTCTCTACCATTTTGCTTCGCTCCTTTGGTCGTGCCGTCCCTGACTTTGTTTCTAATATCTGTCTCTGACTGACATCATCCTTCCTTCGCATCTGCAACACGGCACAGAGCACCCCTCACCCCTCGTCATTATTCTCCTCCCAAAGCACGGGAGCACCCTTCGCCTGTACAGACATAACTGATATTGCCAAACGCTTGGACCGCATTCGTTTGGGCCACGCTGACATAGCAACGTCGACATCGCATATACTCTCACCGCCTCTCGCGGATCCTCGATGACTTCAATTCTCCACTACCGAGACCCTATCGCCTACAGGAGTGACTTCATGAGTACCTCCAGCTACCACTCGCCTCACATGGACCAGCAGAAGAGGTCGCCGCCTTACGAAGGCCATTCTTCTGGCTCCGAAGCCAGACAGCTCACTCCCGGTGCGAAGAAGCGACCTTCGAGAGCTGGCACCCGCAGCGTCACCACCCTCACCGCCGCTCAACTCGAGCGAAAGAGAGCGAATGACCGAGAAGCACAGCGAGCTATCCGCCAAAGAACAAAAGACCACATCGACACTCTTGAACGCCAGGTTCGCGACCTCACTGCGCAACTGGAGAACAACTCCTCCACCAAGATGATGGACCTCATCCGGAGGAACGAGGAGCTCGAGCAAGAGAACGCAGTCCTCCGCGCCCGCCTGTCACACGCCGTATCGGCACTGGGAGTCCCAGAATCAGGAGCAGGTACGTACTATTGATTTCATTCCTGCAAAAGCACTGTCCAATTGTTCGACTCACAAGCTCGTTGGGTTGTCATGGTTGCTTTTTGGTGTCTCGGGCCGCAACCGTTTTGGTGCAGCCGAACCTCTTTTCGCAACATGTCACATCTTTCTTTTGCTTCATTTCCCGCATTCCGGTTTGGCGGCTCGATTGAGCGACGTGCAGTATCTGTAACGTCGGATTCCTGTTCCCGCCGAGGCGAGGCGAGAAGCGCGAGCCTCGTTCTCCACCCAATGTGATATCGATGCATGGAGGCTGACATGACTACAGCAGGCGCACCTTCACCGAGTGATCGGGTTCAGATGCTCAGCCAACCCCGGAGAATGTCTACTGGAACGGCGAGGAGCGCACATTCAGTCCCCGAAATAGCGACGCCCGTGTCTCAACCTGGACACTGGCAGTCGCAGCACACGTACGCCCACCACGTCTCCTCACCGCACGTTGATACGCCACCTGCCATGGGTGAAGTCCAAGCGCCACAGCACGAGGGAGTTCGCTGGAGTCCTCACCCCAGTCACCCTCAGCAACAGCACCACCAAGTTTCCATGCCAGTGCAGGATGCGTCGGTCCATGCGGTTGAGCAGCCCAACATGTCATACCCAAGCACATATGTCATGGAGAGCAACGCGCGAGCCATGTCTTACCCTCTTGAGAACGCCTCCATGGTCACTTCTCAGCCGATGCCAATGTCCGGTTACGGTACACCGACCTCGCATCCTTCGCCTCACGCCTCGGAGTACCAACGACACATGAGTGTTCCTATGCATCACCAGCCCGTTCAAGGCCAAGGCCCACCTCAGCACCAGCACCAACAACATCACACATCTGCTCCCTATGGCTCCTACCCTGTTGGTCCCCAGCAAGGCTACCCTCCCCAGGTCAGCCACGGCAGCGAGATGCCCATGATGCACGCACAGCACGGTCAGCCGCAGATGATGAACGAGCAAGGACAGCACATCATCTACCAGCCATACCAGTCCAACATGAAGGTTGAGCATTGAGTATGACCACGACTCGTCTGAACATGTTCGCAAATCCTACGTGGCTACAGACCGTTGGCAAGGGTACCAGGGAGACGATCCTTCGATCACACAACACCCACATCGAGCAATCTACTAGACGCAACCACGCGCCATGGAACAAATTGCTCCTTCATCGCAATCTTCTCGACGCGGGACAAAATGTCCTTGACACGCGGCACCACGCGGCACAGTCACGATAGGCTGTATTCCTCGGCGATATATCATAATTGTTCCGCAAGGGCCCTTCCGAAAGCAGTAGCACGCGCCGCCGCTCGATGCTGTCGATGACGGCAAGACGCGATCCATCTCGCGGGAATTTGGCAGGGACGACCACGCCGCCTCGATCCTTTGGGTTTTCACACGCTAGAACCAGGCACACGTTCACGGTTCACCGCTATACGACGCGGCACCCGTTTCCAAGCGCGCCCCCAGCGTCGGACAATTTCGCATCACCTCAAGTTTTTTTGGACGTCGTCGTCGCTGCCCCCCACGATCGCATGAAGCGCAATGAAACAACAACACGGAAGGCCCCACATGCGGATTGTGGGATCGCATCAAGATTGCAGTCGCCCGTGGTGCAAAGACATCAGGTCCCGCTTGGGACGCTACAGCCTAGTGCGTTCCTGGAGACTAGCTTAGGGCACGATGGACGGTGAAGAGGTGGATACGATGATGATGGGATGGTGGAAGCGGAAGAAGAAGGGAAATGAGCAAATGGAACATTCCGTGGATCCTCCATTTTCTGCGCGCGCGCCTGACCGGGGGCCTCGTTGCGAGATTTGTGAGCCGTCGGCCGCGTTTTGGGCTTCCAAGCTGGCTTCCTTTCGCTTCCACCTCGCCCACGCCCCTTAGTCTGGTTCGCTGGGGGCTTTCGATGGTGCGATTGCGCAGACCAGCGCGTTCCTGAAGGAGCAATGCAACCGAGATTTCCCGACATCCGAGCATCCGTTCGAACTGGCCCATGCCCTGGCTCCATCCATCCCCCATCCATCACACCCACACGACATCGGCCACCCGTCATGGTATTTGTCTTTTGTAAACTTACGAAAGGGAAACATGCATGGAAGCTAGCCCCACATGCGCCAGAAAGTCTGCTAAAATTTCCTCGTGCGGATAGGGCCCACCGACGCTGAAACATGGTATGCCAAATACACTTTACGAGCCAGCTATGAGCTACACTACGCTACACACCGGACGCTGGTTACGCATGCAGCCTCGGGTGGTTTGCCAGGGCAGAAAAGGTCTACAACAGCGGTTCCGCCGGCCCTTTTTGCCTCGTCCCTTTATCGGACGTTTTCTTCCGATGGACATAGTAGCGCCGTAACGCCGAAACACGGTGGCCAGCAGAATTTCTCGGGCGTGGCTTTTTCTTCGCTGGGTGCTGCGGAGCCTTTGTTGCCAAGGCCAGGGTGTGGAGGCTTTGCGTGGCGTCCCGCGGATCCGCTCACATGGGATACATGCGTTCGGGCGCGCTTCCGCCCAATCGCATTGCGCCGTTGGGTGCAGTAGCTCGCCTGCGCTCGCTTGTGTCCTGCATAGGGAAGCGTTGCCGATACACAACCATGTGAAGTGGACATGAGCTCACCGTATTGTCCCTTGATCCTGGATCACGATGGCGGCAGTGCTCTCGTGTGATTGTTTGTCACACCGCATGAACGCTGACGGAACGCTGACGGAACGGAAGCTTCACGTGAACCCGAGGCCGCTGGTGCTGCGTGTGTCGGAATGGTCTGCTACACTACGACTACAGGCTCTCTCCTGGTTGCCATCGCCTTCATGACGACGCCTGCGCTGCTGCCTGCTGCGCGCGGATGTGCTTCAGCTCGTTGGGGTACCACCGCTCGCCAACGTCGGGATGGCTCTTGATCCTGTTCATCAGCGTTGCCTCGCCGAGGTGTCCCCATCTGCCCTTCACAAACGTGAACTCCACATCGTCCTTGCGCTTCTTCCTCGCCTGGTCCCTCAGCTGTAGTACCTCGTCCGGCACATCCATGGCTTCAAACTGCGCGTCGTAGCTCACGCCTTGGAAGAACGGCACCGAGTACCGCGCCCCTTCTCCCTTGCGCGGACTCAGAACACGATGTGTAGTTGACGCGCAAACCCCATCTGTCAGCGCCTCCATGCCCTGCCCGATCGCCACGACAAGCGTACCAGGTATGGGCTTGCAGTCTATCCACTCGCCCTTTGCGTTCTGCGCCTGCAGGCCGAGCTGATCGGACGCCTGCAGCAGGTAGCTGGTGAGCATACTATCTTTATGCGGACCCACGCCCTGGCGCTTGATCTCCCACTTCTTCCGCTCCATCTCGCTCGCCCCAGCCGGCAGGTCACCCACATCAACCTCTGGATACTTGACAATCTTGAGCTTGTGCTGCTGGTCCCGATCAAAGAACTTCTCAAACGCGCTCGCAGGCAATCCAATGGCCTCTGCGATCAGCGACGTGAAGAGCGTGGAGATGTGCGCCATGCGCCGTATGTAGTCCTCATAGACCGGTCGGAAAGACGGGAGGTGGTCAGCCGACGGCCATTGGTTCGGTGCAAGCAGATTGTGGTACAGCGGTGCGTCGGGTCCGGGTAGTGCGTGTGGAGTCGAGAGATCGAGTTGTTCCCTGTGGTCTGGATTGAATGCCGTGGTTTCGTTGTCGAGCTACGATAAAGGAGATTCTTGTCAGCATGCATTTTACGACGAGTCGTTTGACGACCAAAAGAAAGAAAGCAAAAGTTTTGAGTTATACGAGGAAGAGATGGGATGGAAGTAATGGCAGGAGAGAGAGAGTGTGTGTGCAAGTTAACGGCCGTCGAGTACATATTGTTGGCGTCGTCTATTTGGGATATACCCGGGTGATTCTGTTATCTGTCTTTTTTTTCTGATTTTGCAGCTGGCGTTGGTATGAGAAGAGAAGAGGGCGTTGGAGGTTTATTGTGATACACGCGTTATGGGTTTACGGCCGGTTTCTCTCTTTCTTTCTTCGTTCTTCGGTTCTCTGTATCATAGTTTCCTTGATATATTTTTTTCTTCTCTCTCTTTCCGTACACACCATGCATAGCGTAGCATAGCGATAGCTTGTAATAGACCATCGTCTTATCTGCATAATCGTCGTCTCTCTCTCTCTCTCTCCCATTCAACTTGCTAACTTCAACTTGGCAAATAGAACAGAAACATTCAACAAACAAGAAGGAAATCACACACTCACCCTACTCCACCCCAAAAAACTCCTCTCATTCTTCATCTCAATCTTCTCCTTCTCCCCCCTCGGCAGTTCCTCGAAAAATCGTCCACACTCCTTAATCACATCCTGCACCAACCCCTCCGGCAGCCCTGTTTCGCTCAGATACAAAAACCCCACGTTCAACAAGGCATCGCGTAGGTCGCGCAGGAACTGCGGTTTGGTAGCCGGGTTCAGCGCGGCGCTGAGCGGGAGTACGGGCAGGGACGTGAAGGTCTGTGGGGGGTCTACCATGGTTCGGTGATGATGGCTGCAGATACGATGGTTGTGTGAGTGCAGTGACAGTGTAGTCGTCTATCGATGAGTGTTGATGTTGTAGCGGCTCCGTTCCGTTGTCGCTCGTGTGCATGTGGTTCCCAGTCCCGGCGAACTACCCCGCGCCTGCCTCACACCATTCAGCGGGGCAATCGCACCACCACCCCGCTGTTCTGACTGGCTGCGACACTTCCTATCCTCGCCTCACTCCTTCACAACAATGTTTGACGAAGAAGTGATGAGATGACTCTAGTACCTCGCCATCCACTTGAACGCCAGGCCCACGGCTGTGAGTTTCAAACCGCCGATGACGAGGACGCTGAGGGCTTCGAAGAGCATGATTGGCGTGTGTAGCTTGGCTTCCCGAGTAGTTCTGGAGTAGGAAGGTGTGTAGTCGTAAAGAAAAGTAGATGAGTGTGATTGGTAGATAGGTAGTAACTTTGTTTTCCCTCTCGAACGGTATACTCGAGATGAAAACGAAAAAACAAACCACGATGGAGAGATATTTGCTTCTCTTATACGCCTCAATCTGCCTAACTACGTTGATGCTTCCCGTTCCCGAACAACGGTCCCTCGTGCCTCTTTTTCTCGCCTCACATACGGTCTGGAATAAGAAACTTGAACCCGGCCGACCACCTGCACCGTTTGTTTTCGAAGCCGCCGCAGTCCGTTGGCGCTGCGCGCCGGGAATGACTTGCTTGCCTTGGTTGTCTGGCGTACAACCCAGCTCCACTTCCCCAGCCCGTTCGATCATCTATTCGATCTGGCCATTGCATCGACAGCCCGTCGTGGAGATACGCGTCTCCACAGATAGTAGACTTCGGCGCAACGGCGGCGTTGTTGTTGTACTACGGCATTACGGGTTATACCAGCCACGTGCCAGGCTATTCATCGTCATTTCCAACCTCGCCGTCACGCGAGACACACTCCGCGGCAGCAAACTATGGAAAGTATCGCGTAATGCGCTTGTTGTGCTTTGTCCATTTCTTTGTTGCGATGCATGCTTAACCTCCCGATCGTGAACTGCAGTCGTTGGTCAGGATAGCTATGCACCAGTGACGTAGGTCACATGCGCGAAGCGGCGATGAGGACGATCAGCGGTGGAAAAAATGAGGCTGGTATGCAGGTGTAGCGAAGCGGTTAGTGGTCATGTGCTACGTAGGACGACGACGACCACGACAACGATTACGACTGCGACTACGGGTGAAGTCGCGTGAGCGCATGCTTGTTGGGATGGCGGGCTGGGAGGGTGTAGATACAGATGCAGGTATGTGTTGTTCTTTTTGATAGCTGCTGTGTGTGTTGTGCATGCGTGTGTGTGGTGATTGTAGGAGTAGGTATGTTAGGCTCCGCGGCTGCAAGTCATCGGTCTACGGGAGACGGGACGGCAGCCACGATGAACGATGTGGTTACAGTAGGGTTTGGGGCGTTATGTGGGACATGAAAAGGAAGCAGAGGATGAGAAAGGAATTCTACATTTATCGGTAGCCTTGTGGTTGTGTGTTTCCTTCTTTCTATAGTGTAGTAATCCGTCCCGCAGACTACCTCGGCCTGTAGGCCGAAAAACAACTCTCGTCGGTAGGTATCCTAGTTCCCGTCCACACATCTACATCTCCTCCTTCCAGCCACACATATGCGATATACGCAACCACCAGCACACATACACGCAGAAAACAAAGAACAGCAAAAAAAAGTACTCCCGCCATAACAACGACGTCAACACCACCCACCACAACCCTGAAGTCCCACCGCCGCCAAGCCCCTCCACGCGCGCTTTCAACAGCCCACCCCAAACACGCCTCTTCGCGCAACCGCAGATCAGCCAACGGCATTGCATCGGAGAATTCTCATCTCATCCCTTCCATGCTCCCCCAACGGTATACGTAAATTCAGTAAAGCAGGTAAGAGCCAAGAGCGCGCATCATCTTAGGGTAAGCGAGAGCGGCCGCAAGACAGGGGCCATATAAAGCATGAAACATATACCAATCGCGTACCAAGCCATGCTAAGCGCCCTTTAACGGTGCCCTTTAACGGTTCCCAACGGTGCCGAGCCGACGTAAGTGACGATGTCGTGATATTGGGGAGGGGAGTATAGTGGGAGGGTGTTTTAATCTACAGGGGAAGGGGGGTTGTCTGACTTGCAGTTTTGACTTGCAGACTGCAGACTGCACATCACACCCCCCGAGTCGTGAGGCGACACAACCTCAATCAGGTATCACAGGCGGAGACGGAGGCGGCGCGGCGGTGATGTGACGGACCACGGTGAATGGCGTGTGTATAGTCGTCGTGGTAAGGGTAGGTATGACGCGTAGATCCCGATATACCTACCGTCCATCAACCGAGGATATACCATACCGGTAGCTTAGCTTAACACAATCCGTAGTAACCTACCTACCCTTACCCAGGTATTATCACAACACAACGTTGTCTATAACTCCACGGCGCACCCGCGGCGATCGATCGTACGATACGCAGGATGCGTATCCTCGTTGGTTCGGAACGCCATTATGAGGTGGTGAAGGGGTATACTATAGCACAGCAAGGGGAAGCGAATTAAGATGAGCCCGTTTTCATAGCAAGAACTGTGTTATAGAGGGATGAGTCGTGGCAGATGTGATGGGGCATGGAGATGGAACGTTCGAATGACTCTAGAAGTAAGCGCCGCCGAATAGTGACTTGAGTCGTCATGATCTACAGTACCGAGGTGTCGTGACGGTGGACAGGCGACGCTCGGTACCCGGAACGTTGTAATAACCGAAGGAGTGATAATATAAGTGACGAGTCGTGATGGAACCTTGGAATTTCTCGACTCAGACCGGAACGTTCGACTCAGCCGCAGGTTCTGAAGCGGGAAGTCCGTCCCAGTTCTTAACACGGAAGTCTGAGTCGAAGTAGGGGAAGTCAAGGTATGGAACTTACTCCACTGATCCACATTGCAGTTACATAGTTACATCGGTATCTTCCGAGCCCATCATACTCGTACGAGACACCGTCACGCACTTTCCACTTTCCTCGCCATTCAATGCAACAGCGGAGTAGGCGACTCGAGTCGAGTTGAACTGCGCCGTAGAGACGCCATACGAGATACGCGGAAACCGAGAAAACCGAGACAGGGCTGCGCCGTACGGGGAGGTCGGTACAAAGGGGGACCTTGACTTCGACCGACTCCGACCTCGCCGTTAACAAAGCACGCAAGTACCAAGCCGCCGTAAAGAGTAACAAGAGTCAGTCGCCGGAGGATTGAGGTGGGCTCTGTAACGAACCATCACCGCCTTTTACGCGAACCATCCGCTTGGAACGCAGCGCATGAAAGACACCCCGGGGGGTTAACACCGCTCTTTTTGCTCCTACGTGGCCACATCATAGTAGAGTCTTTGCTGTCGATATGAGCAGTACTCGCCCCGGCCCCCTTCTTCATCATCATACTATCTTCTCCACAGATGCGGCGTTGTGTTATCATACACCCTCGCTTCTACCCCCTCATGAGGGAGACCGCTTTTTTGACTTTACTACGTGGCTACATTATAGGACGATGTACTGTACTCGCCCCGGCCCCCTTCTTCGCCATCATATCCCTCTCTCCCCTCTATAGCTACCTGCGGCGTTGTTATATGCCCACAGTAACCCACTTCTTGCGCATCCGAAGAGATCGAGATTTTGCGCCATAATATAATACGGTTATGCTGTCAATATGTGCTGGAGTCGCCCTGGCCCCCTTCTTCTGCGTTATGCTCTCCTTTCCACGGCTGCCTGTGACGTGGACAAATACCCACCTTGTGCGCTCCGAGGAGTAGAGTGAAGGATCAGAGGAGTAGAGTTCCGTGGAAGGTTTGGAAGCAGTCTTTGATGTTGAGGCGTTCAGGAGCGAATATTTCTAAGTTAGCTCGTTTTTGCAATATGGCCGATCTTGACGCCGTTGTGCCTTCGCATTGTCTTGCTTGAGCTGGCGGGCTGCGGCGGTGTGACACGCGTATTAGTTGAGCGATTGCTAATTTGGAGTGAAGGGCGGTCGGTTCGAGATGCGGGAAGAAAACGGGCGGAGTGTTAGCAAGTTAGACAGAACTAGATGTTAAAAGACTTGGAATGTTTTGAACTTTTGAACTTTTGAAAACATGTCTCTCATTGAAAGTGTATATCGCTAGAACAGCAGACAGCGCACAAACGAACTAGGGAAAGAAAGCTATCTCAACTCTTTACATGCGATGCCAGTCGCTCCATGTCATAACCTCATACCTCATATCTCATAACCCGCTCTACCTCTTCTCCTGAGGGTAGTACGCAGGCTGACCCTCAAGCGACTCACCAACACCCTGACGGTAACTAGGCGGCGGACCACCAAACGAAACCTGACCACCAGGCGTAGGAGTACTAGACTGGTTGGGCGGAGCATTGTTGTTAGACACACCGACGTTTGGGTTCAAGTCGCTGGGCGTGATGGTGCCGCCATCACCACCGCCCACCATGACGGTCTGCTCGTTGCCCTTCTTGTCCTTGACCTTGCCGACGACCATGCCCTTGGCTACGGACTTGATGATGGCTTTTCTGCTGACGCCCGTGACGTCGATGTAGACGAGGCCGACGTTCTTGACGCCGCCGGCGAGGTTGGTGGTGATTTGTCCTGCTTCGGCGCCGTACTTGTGGCCGACGGCGGCGCTGGCTGCGGCTCCGCTGCTGGTTAGGAGTTGCTTGCCCGAGTGCGAGATGCCGTCAGCGACTGTGGAGAAGGCGATCAAGCTCTTGTTCAACAGTCCTGGCTTGTAGTTTGTGTTGGGCGTGCCGTCTGGGTTCACGCTCTTGGCGTGTGTCTTCTTGTGGCCTGCCATTCCTGCTGCAGCGTTCTGGGCGTACTTGGTAAGCTGGCCTACAGTCTTGGCTGAGTAGCCAGCGACGCCGGTTGTGAGGGTGTTGATCTTGCGGACGCGCTCGTGGGTGGCAGGCTTGAAGACCATGGGCTTCTCGTTCGGCCTCGTCTTGTTGATGAAGTTCTCGGCACCGGATACCATCATGTTACTAAGGTAGCTGGAGCCGGTAACGACAAGGCGAGATGCGGCAGCGGCGTTCTGCACAAGGCCAGAGTCTTTGTATGCGGGATGGCGGGCCATTTCGAGGTAGTCTTCTTCGAGCGGTCGGATGTCGATGCGCTTGCCGTCTGGCGAGACGACAATCTCGACGGGATCTTGACCTGTGTTAGCATGAGTGACCTGCGCGCGCGGAAAAGGTTCAAATGACATACTCTTGGATCCCTGCTGCAATGCTGGGTCGGCGTGGATCATGGCACCCTCGGCCAGCTCACCGACAACGCTGCCGTTCTCCTCGTCGACCAAGACGACCTCGCCATTGTTCACAGCGCCTGCGTAGCCCTGGCCTGGCTGGTAGTCCTGGGGGTTGTATGCCTTGATGTCGCCCTTGCCCTTCTCGTGCGAGGGGGCTTGCGCACGCTCGAGGAAGGCTGTGCACTGTGCCAAGATGGTCTCAAAGGTATCCACATCTTCCTGCGTGACCGATGTCGAGCCCTTGCCAATTGGCGGGAACTCAATGCGTGTGAAGGCGCCGCTCTCTGGGCCCAAGTCCCATCGCGGTATCAGGTAGCTGCGCGGTGGCTGGTGGTAGATCTGTGTGGTCGCGGGGAGAGGGAGATCTAGCTCCGGGGGGAGGTTGAGGTGTAGGTAGAAGTCTTCTTCGGGCGCTTCGTTCTGGCCGCGCGTGTTACTGAGGTCTGCAAAGGGCGAGTTGGTGGGCACCATCAGCAGCGAGAGCGTCTGCGGCCCTGAGGGTGTGAGAGGGCTCTCCTCGCCCTGCTGAATGTGGTAGGCTTTAATGCCGCCGACTGTGTAGAGCAATCGAGGATCTCCATGGCCGCTCATGCTTGCGAGACGTGTTTCGCGGGGTATCGAGGTGGGTTGGTAGGTGAAGGAGAGATAAAGGAGCGATCAGGTGTCTTTCGAGGGATATGGGCAGGAGGGGTATCTTCTATTTCGGTGTATGAGTGCAGGAGCAACAACCTTTTTATGGAATGCAAGCGACAGGGAGTCGACTGCCCATGTGCAACCTGCTCGAGACGCCGCGCTTGCGACAGGCATTCTGACGTAACCATGCTCAGCCACGGGGAGCTCCGCATTTGGCCAATCAACGCTGTGGCTGTGCACTGCGCCACATGGAGGCAACCTCCCTCTTCTGTGTGTGAAGATATGTACGGTCGTATTTCCGCCTTCACACGATTCGCGAAGCGTCTTTGCCCCTTCACATGCGAGATGCGCCCGTCTTGTGTTGATGATCTGCTGTGCATGCGCCTCGGAACGCGTCATGCACGGACGACTCACGTCTTCACGCATGGTAGTCGCTAACAACCCCGCGACTCCATCGTGTACTGCTTGGTGAAGCAGCGTCTTTCCAACAAGAACAACGTCAGCAGCTTTCGTCATCTTACCATTACGGTTAGGCCACCTAGCTCCCGCTCTGCATCCACTCCCTCATTCGTCTCATGGGACTTCCACTCCTGCCATCATCTCGACTATCGCGCTTTCCTGCTTTTTCGCTTCCCTGGCATAACGCACCCTGTTGAATACAATGTGCACAGAGGCTATGCGTTGGTAAGGTGGTGAGACGTATGCACCATGGTCGGCAGCGGCCTGCACCTTCCGTAGGAAATGCAACTTGGTACTTCGCGGTTTCCGAATATGGTCACTTCCATTACCAGGTCACCTGCTCCTTCTGTCTACAGCTCATTGGCGATGGCTTCTCTCGCCTTCTGTCCCCCACTCGTAAACAATGCATCGATACCAGCAGACCGACCCATCGGCCACCTCCCAGCGCCCACCCTCGTAGGTAAACACGGCCATCGACCGACCGACCAGCGCATCGTGAAGATCCATGAGACCTACTATGAAGCGGCTAGAGCACTTTACCGCTGGAATTTCCCAGGACGACCGTCATAAGATGTCGATACCATGTGCCCAGTCAATTGCCGCCATATACTTTCGCTCGGGTTGAATAGTATCTGAGATAATCTACCCTCCTGCTAAGACTGTTCCAAGGTTGCAACGCCTGATTACGGTCTCTTCCCAATGGCGTCACATATAGCCTCAGTCCGTGCGCTCTTTCCGTAGTCGGAGTGGTAGCCTAACTCTTCCCCAACGCGCCTGCCTATATGACTCGCGTATCTTTGAGCACCACTTTACCTTACCGGCTACACTGGCAATACAACGACCAATTGATCGATATCCACATTGCTTGTCAAGTACACATTGTTCTTGACCTGCCGACCGTCAACCAGCGATCCAATTTACCGACTACACTGGTAGCACTCCGACTAATCGACCGATATTCAAGTCATGCAGACTATTGCAGCTCGCACCTCGTCACCAACCGACCCATCTGCGGTGTCCTTCCTTACGAAGCTACCCCCCGAGATTCGTAATTACGTGTACGAAATACTATTCAAGCGCCGAGACCGAGTCCTACTTCATAACGCGGATGCATTCCACGAGCCATATCATTGGCCTCTGAGTTCAAATAGGTACTTAGAGGATTACTATCATTGGTACGAAGTTGAGGTCGGAAAAGACACGGAGTTCCGACATGATCTTCACGAGGGGCTTGCTTTGCTATCGTCCTGCCGCCAGGTACATGATGAAGCTTCTGGGATTCTATACAGCGGCAACACCTTCGTAATCTCTAGAGTCCAAGATCGTGACGATGGGGGTAACAAACATATGGCTGGCGACGAAGAATACTTCCAGGTCAACTATGCCTGTAAATGGCTGGAGCAAATCGGATCGCAATTCTCCCGCCTGAAGAAAGTCATTATCGATACAAATACGATGTGTACGCACCCCAATTGCTCGTGTGGCGAAAGGATCGAACTTTTGCCTCTATTACGCCTGATATGGAAGAACCCAGATCTCCTCAAGATCATTTCGTTCGGAGATGCTAGCAAAATACCGGATACCCCAGATGTTGTAAACGAAGCGGTTGACAGGGGTAGAGGGTGGAACGATAAAGCGCATATGCTCAACAACATGCTCACTGCTCTCGCGGTAGAAGATATCCTCGACATACGCAAATACTCGTTCTCCAATCGCCTCATGAGCGCGGTCTCAATAATCACACGTCCGGAAGAGCAAGAGGAAGAGAACAGCTACGTGAGCATGTGGAACGGGAGCGAGGAAGTTCGTGAGGAGTTCCTCACGTCAGAAGAAGGCAAACCTCTTCGATGGAAGCCGTGGGAGCCGTGGGAAGGCCGTTACCGATTTGCGCACTTACCAACGGACATACGAGAACGAATAGCAGGGCTTTTACTGCGCCAACCAGACGGAGTCACAATTGACTTGGATTCACATACGATACATGGTCTCGACTTCGATATCGCTCGGACAGGCCTAGTACCCGTGTGCAACGCAGGACTGGTTACATCACGTGTGAACCGAATCAGTGTAAAGATGACCAGCAACAAGACCATTACAGACTTCGACGGCTTCGACAAGCTTGTGACCTTCTATCACAGAAAGCACGATCATCCTGAGGTCTTGAATTATATGTTAGGTCACTGGGAAGAGCCCAATCCACAGACCATCATACTGGAAATCGCGCCCGCCAAGATAGACATCCCCGGCGCTATTAGTATCAACATAAAAGTCTTGATGCTCGTACTACTCAGCCGAAAGCTCCATCCTGCCTCCACCATCCGCATAACACTCACCCCACCTCTTTATACCGGAGCACCGCAACAAACCACCATCATCTCGACGGAAAAGCTACTCCAACAAGTATTTCTCCTCCTATCCGAATTGATGCTTAAAAAATTGGAAGGATTGCCCAAACTCCCTGATCCCACCACCGAGAAAGCTCTTCTCGGACTCAAGAGACCTGATCTCTGGATCGACGGCTACGGCAACCTTCTCGCCACCTCGACTCTCGATTTGGGCGCTCCGATAGAATTTAAGTTTGACAAGCTCGGCAGGAAAGAGCTGCGGGTTTTGGGGTACAGCAGGGCTACTACTATGGACTGGATGGCCAAGCCGCTAACCGAGGCGCTCCAGGCGCATGACTACTCTTCTACATGGAGAGAGGCTCAGTTGGTCTGTCTGTGGGATAATCTGAGGAAGAAACTATATGATGATTGGAACTTTAGGCAGCCGCCGCCAGGGTTGAAGGAGTCGACGCGGATGCAGTAAGTGGTTGGTGGGTGACCACGTTGGCTGGTGTCGATGACTGCGCAGTAGCGTGTGGGTTCGCGGAGGAATACGCTGGATCATCTTGAGTTGGAATATTTGACTATCGTGTACCTAAAAGTATACAACATCAGGTATCTCGTCGGTCTAGCAACCATGATCTCATCGAACACCTCCCGGATACTGTATAACTTTATGTGTGCGTTCATGGTTCCACTTGTATTCTGCGAAAACAAACCACTACAAATTCCTATGAATGCGACGTCTTCTAATCGAGAGTATCTTGTTGTATAAAATAGTGGAAATGACGATTTGGCTCGCTACCTTCAGGAACGGACGGATGCAGGGCTATGACGTGAGTTCTTTGTTACGTTTCATCAGACCACACTTGGTAGAGCGACTGATAGATTAGCCGAGTCCTTACGGCCGCTTCTCCAGGCCGTGGCAGACAAAGAAAAGCAGGTACGAGTGCGTGTTCTGGCTGCTCGAAGGGTCGCATGACCCCTTGCGGAAAGACGAATCTTTAACTTCAAAGTTGCACCTTCCAATAGTCTCACATCTGCTGGCGTCTTCGCACTTTTCCAATCCTTTCACGCACCAAAATATGGAGTCTTGCTACGTATTCCGTACCTGGGCCGGAGAAACCCTCACTATAGCCTGCGCGATCGGCTTGGTAGCCTCAATCGCAGGCATCCTAGCAGTATACGACGGCAAACCCGTACCGGACTGGGGCGGCGACCTCAATCTCAATGCTCTCATCGCGCTTTTATCAACGGTTCTGCGCGCTCTACTAGTCGTCACTGTCGCGCAGATCATATCGCAGAGGAAATGGGACTGGTTCAGCGTCACGAGTGCCCGGCCGTTGTCAGATATCCAGCGATTCGACTACGGGAGCCGCGGAGCCTACGGAGCGTTGCTTCTCATTCCGACTGTTTTTCTCAAGGACTTTGTTACACTGGCTGCTGCGGTCGTGTTGCTATTGTCGTTCTTGGTGGGACCTTTCGCTCAGCAGGCTAATGGCGCGGCGCCGTGCTCGTTTCCGAGCGCTACACTCAATGCATCACTTCCCTTCGCACATACAGTACCTGGGAGTGGTGGCTACGTCCCCTTTACAGGTGGTTCAGACGGAGGCCCCACAACCGACCTTGTTGCCGCAATCCTATCCAGTGTCGTATCGCCCTACGGCATCGAGAACAAAATTCGCACAAGCTGCCCGACGGGAAATTGTACGTTCAGCAATCTGGGTCCCAGACCAGAGTTGGAGAAGGCCTTCTTCGACTCTAATCAGAGCATGCATTCGACGGTTGGAGTGTGCAACGTATGCACAAACGTGGCGTCTTCAGTAACGAGCAAGATCGAGAGTACAGAGTGGAGTAACAACACCATCCACTCTCTGCCAAGCGGCTTGAACCTATCAGTAGGAGCAGGCCATTTCGAAGTCTCGACCATGAAGCCAACTCCCGACCTCACCTGGATGGGCAGTCTCCTGACCGACACCGTCAGAGAAGCATCCAGATGGGCATACGTCAACGCAACCCTCCTCAACATAGCCAGTACCCCCATCACCGCATCAGTATGCAGCTTATACCCATGCACACGCACCTACAAAAGCTTCATCAAAGGCTCCGAGCTCCACGAATGGGAAGCCCCCTCCTCAGCCATGCGCCTCCAAATCGGCGGCGCCCACCACGAAG